GTGCCAGTCTTTCCGTACAGCCTGTTAAGATGGGCATCACGCTCTACTGAGGTATGTGCCAGGCTCTGGACCAGGGCTGGCTTGCATTTGACTGATACAAAAGGCAAGCAGTGTGAACCTATATCTATCATCTGCACCGTCTGCACTAGCCTAGCAACAATATTTTGACTAAGGACACAGCTAATGTTTGTGGCAGAGAAAAAAATAGAACCAATATATCTCATATTCTGTTTTATGCTTTGAGTACAAAGACTGGCTTTCCTCCTGTTAAAATATTTTGATCTGGAGAAAGTGATTTAGAACACAAGCTCTTTAATGAGTGCATGGACCGAGACAATCTGTTCGAAGAATAGTTGGCAGCATGGGAGAGGGCATAAAGTAAGAGCAGGTGAAGTGGACAAAAGAAATGTTAAAGAAATGTGTTTTCTTTGGAGGAGTGCTCCAAAATGCAGAGCCTTGTAGAGAGATGAGGACAGCATGCTCCATGAAGGCACAGCATACTGGCACTAAAAACATGCCGTTGGTCATCTAGCCAAAGAGGTAAACAACTTGCTTGGAGTCTTGGGGTTATTTGTCAGAAATTCAGAAAAGAAAATGTTTGGAAGACAGAGGAACCATCTGAGCTCACTGTGAAGCAGCAAATGTTCCAGTGCTATTTTTGATTGAGTAGTACTGTATATTGGGGGAGTTTCTGTGAAATGGGAGGTGACACTACAAAATCTTGGAATGTGCATATTTGAAATATGCTGTTCATGGAAATAATATGTGTTTCATATATTTAGCATTTAGTCTAGTCTGAAAAGTGGCTGTAGCATCTTTTTATCCAATGCTTAACGTCTTCTACTTGGAAAAAACAAGCTACTCCTTTTTGGAAGGAATATATATCATTCCCGTGGCCTTAGCTTAGGAACTTAAGAACCTTGTTTGATCCTTTTGTTGTCAATAGTTAGGTCAGAAGAATTGTGCCTGAGTTAATGACCAGAGAGAGAACAAAAGGAAAAAGTAAAAGGGATTTCTTTTAACTCCTGAGATTATTGGATAAGACCAAAACTGATAAGACCCCAGTGTATGTAATAGAAAGCAAGGAAAAAGCATGGTCACACGAATTGATGGAAAATATGCGTAAGAACTACATTCCACTGATAAGGGTGTCTCCATGAGAATGTCTGTTCTCACCTCTTTTCGCACTGGAGCCGATTGACATTAGGTTGTTTGAATTAATATGTGCAAGATAATGTCATAAGTAGTGATGTTGCCTGTTTAGCACTTAACTACCTTAAGAGTAAAATAAGCACTTTCATCAGTAAATGGAAATGACCCCTCATAAGTTGATATATGATCGAAAACTCTCCATCTTTTCTTCTTAGATTCCTCCTTCAATCTTTTCCAGTTTATCTCTAGGTGGATTTAAATTGAAGCCTCTCTCATTAGCAGGCACTAATTTATTTATATTTGATGAATGTCTCACAAATTATCTGCTTCATCAATGTGGAGAGAACTTGTTGGTAAAACAAAACTACAAAAAAAAAAAAAGTACAAAAACCATCTGTTTCAAAAGTGTTTTCATTTTACCTAAACCACTATGAGATGAACTACTGTTCCTGGAGAAAGGCCTTTCTTACTGTTTCATTTTGACACCTATAGAAAATTCTGTATTTATGCTGCAGAATGGGCTCAGAGGATGCGTTAGCCTGGATGGAGTTGCTCAGCTATTTCCCAGTGTTTGGCTTCAGATTGCAAATGCTAGTTAAAACAAGAAGTTCCTTCAGTGTTAGAATCCTAAATGCAATTCTTGTTTGTTAGTAAAGCCAATGTACAGCTGGAGAGCATTTTCCACAAGGCTGTTAGAAGTTCATACACTGTGGGAACACTGGATATTCCTAAGTTTCTTTGACAGACAGACCTGTTACACTGCAATGACCTGCAGTACTTGATGAGTTTATTTGGAGTCCTATTACAGAGTCCTGGGTGGTAAGACAAGGCCAGGTGGGAGAAGGGAGAGGTGGTAAGAAGAACAAGCAAGTGGGAAACCAATTCTATACCATGGTAATCATGGCATTAGGCTGGAAAAGTATCAAAAAGGCATAACATGGTTGTTTCCTATGAAATAGATTGTCCTGAGGAAAAAACCTTCTGTTGTAGAACTTATGGGGTTTGCAGAACCTTCTTCTCTTCCTGTGAAAATACCAGCCTAATTTTTCAGACTCTGTGACTCAAAGGCCTGAGGTATGAACCTTTTCAGATTTCTCAGCCATTAGTATATTTTTTTATATATATATATTTTTCTTTCAACAATGACTTGGTCAGTGTAATACTGCAGTGGCTTAGGCTAATCGAGTCTCATCCTAATACAACTGTGCCAAGACTAGAATGTAAAGACTGTGTTTCCTAATTGCTGAGAACCTGGGCAGCACAAAATTATGTTCTTTGTAGGAAAATGGCATGGCCAACTCTATCCACAAGGAAAACCTGCAAGCCAACCTTTTTGTAACATGTGATTGCTACAACGTACATCTTCCATGAATAATGACATCTATGCCTTTGCGTTTTTTGAGCTATAGCAGTTATACTCTACTGTGAATGTCCCCAGAATGCATATCTAACTGCAAAAAGACCCCCTTTTCATCTGTATCCTGAATTTCATGAGTCATTGTCCATTAGGTAATTCTGCTTCTGAGTATTGCTTTTGTGCTCTTTTCAGTAGCTCTAAAAATGCTGTGCCTGATTCACTATCGCTTTCTGACTTCATTTGTACCAGAGCAAGAGTAAGGAAAAAATAGACCCTCAGCTGCTCCGCTTTTGTGGGAGTGACTGAGGTGCACAATAACCATGAGTCAGGCCTTTCTGCAGAGCCTCTCATTAACATCATTACCATTTTTTAAAAAAAACAACCACCTTCGGCTGAATTTATCACTCATAAACAAGTGGATGTCCTGAACATTTGGTACTGATTTGTAGGTCATTCTTTTCACTCCTGTTTCTACCATGAGACAAGACAATCCTGACACATATTGAAATGCATTTTAATGTTGCTATATGGGGACTGGAGGAAGGTTTAATATGCATAACTTTGCTTTACTAGTAGTGCTTGGCAGCTCCAAAGTACTTTCTGTCCAAGGATTCCCGGTACTGTAAAGCACTGCATGTGCCTCGTAACTTCCACTGTAGTGAGGTGTCTGCCATTTCATTTTTATCTACCAGGAAACTGAAGCATTTCATAGAAGTGAATAAGTCACCTTGGCCAAACCAGTAAATAAACAAGAACCTGGTTAAAACCTGGTCCTCCATGACAAAACGCAAGTGTGCCAATCTAAGACATCATGTAGCATTCATGTGATCAGTTGCTTTCCCTTTACATAAGTAAGTCTGAAATCCTGCCATTGTGAATATGTGTCTATAACTCTCAAGAAGCTAGATCATCCTTTAGTATTTTAGCAAACTGCTCAAAATGGCTCCCCAGGAGAAGAGGAGATAAGAAGTCAAGTCAGGTTTTATATTCTTATGTTGTTTTTCTCCTTGGTACTTCAGTGGCAGTTTTTTCCATGTCTTATATTTGATTAATCTTATTTATGGCAATATATTACTAATCCTATTTAACTATTTTTGTTCAGCCAGACACAGAAAACAATGTACACACAAAAAAGAAAAAATATTTAAGTATAGGGATCATCTCAAACAGTTTCAGAACCAAAATTATTTCTGAAATACAGTATATTTATTCTGCTACCTGGTCCTAAATGCAGAGCATCCCAGATCAGATGAATGCCTAATGAGGGTCTGACAGTGGACCTCTAAAATAAACGCTCGTGCTTTAGTGGAAGCAGTAGTACTGCTCACAAACTGGTTAGATATTAACCAGTTCAGGCAATATCCCTTCTGTATATTATAAAGATAACTTCTGAGATCTTATTTCCTGTCTAGGCAATGTCCTAATCTAAAATGAGATCTCATTTCTGGGTTAAGGGAGATGCTTGATTTGGAAAACTAATTTGGAAATATATGACTTACAGTGACCTCCACATTCCTTTTCCAGGATAAATACAGAATTTACACTGGCAATGTAATTAATCCACAGTAAGATTTCTAGTAATTTCCAGGTTTCTCATGAAACTCTATTGAACTTTGAGTTTGCTTACAGTACAGAAAATCTGAAATAAATCCATCAGTTGTATTAATCCAGGCTTGCATCAGCATTACTGGAAACAAAATCTAAATTTATATTAAATAAAGTGAGAGTTTATATGATCTAGGAGTGTAAAATGTTCCAATTACACTGCTCATATTTATATTCAGTTTATAGCAGCCAGTAACACATACTCTTCGTTCAAGACCTTTCCAGTGCAGATTTGCATAGGTAATTTTGTCTCAGATTGTTTGGTATTTGACGGCAACCCTTTATTTCTGGAGTGAACTGATAATGTAACTATCTGTTTTTGAAAAGGAGATTCAACTTTCATATTTGTGAATGAAAGCTGGAAATCCTGAGCCAAGGAAAGTCTAGAAAACCTGAAGCATTGATTATTTCTACATAAAATCTCGGGGGTTTAGAAGAAAAAAAGGGTTTATTTTCATGTCAGTCTTGGTCTCGCTTGTTGAATTCTTGGGGCTGGTGAGACAATGTGGGTGTACATATATATGTATGGAGGCATGAATGTGCACTTTTTCTTACACATTGAACTCGAGATGGAGTGTACTGGAGCCTTTCTGAAGCTCAGGACTGTTTTTCCAGGCCGTGTTTCTTGTAGGTTAGTAACTGCCTAGTGCATGGAAAATGGAAATCACCATTTTTCTGGGGCCGGACATAGAGGTTCACTGCTACCCAGGGAGGGCTCTCACTAACAGGGAGCAAGGGTTGTTTTCTACCTGATAAGCTCACAAAAGGCAGAAAGAGAAATACGAGGTGACACCAGCACCACAGATCAGTCTGTCATTCACAAGGCATACAGTCCCAGAAATCCACTCAAAAATATTTTTTTTCTTTTGTTATTTCCTTTTTCTAGAAAAAACAAGTGAGTCAAACAAAGATCCGGGTGATCTCTACAATCCTCTTCATCCTGGCAGGCTGCATTGTCTTTGTGACCATTCCTGCAGTTATCTTCAAACACATCGAGGGATGGACAGCCTTGGAGTCCATCTACTTTGTGGTTGTTACTCTGACTACCGTTGGCTTCGGTGACTTTGTAGCAGGTGAGCAGCTTTGAGCCTAGGTGCTGTGCATGAGGGCCTTGGCTCTTAGAATTTGTTTTCTCATGTAGAGAGGAGGCTTTTCACTATGTATTTTATCCAGTGAAACGATGCCAGGTGTTTCTGTTGGGGTTACTGTGCAATAGGACACCAGGCTGATTTAAGATCCAGGTGCCTTGCCATGTGCAGATTGCAAGCTTTCAGCAGTGTAGCTAACGTGAGCCTGGGAAGTCCCAATTATCCTTTATTGTACAATGAATTATGCACAAGTCAAATGACTTTCCCATTGAATTCAGGATTTGTATTAGTCCATTAGGTCTCAATCTGAGGCTCATTGCTGAAGCAAGTAGCCAAAATGATGAATGGGTGAAGCTTTTGCAAAGCAGGGCTGAGCCATAGGGCTGGAGAAATCTCTGGTCGGATGCAGTAGTGGGCTGCTACTACAGGAGCTGCAGCATTTCAGAAGCTGCGTTTTGTTCTCTAACCTTGGCAGAAATTTTGACATTGCAGTTGCCCTGTTAAGGAAAACTGATATACGAAGAGAAGGACTAATGGGGTATGCATCTCAGTGCTAGGAGGATACTCTCCAAGATTAATACATTACTAGCAGGAACTATAAATATCCATCCTTATCAATTTCCAAAGAGGGAGTCAAGGCTATTGACTAGAGAGATGAGAGATTTTTTTTTTTTTCCACTCTACTGCTTTGCTGACAAAAATGTGGTTAAAATAAGTGGAGTTTTTTTCCCATTAGTGCATGACCCCTGCACCTCATTCCTGTTAGTAGTCCTAATTAAAGGCATTAAGATGCCTGTGTTACAAACAGCCATATTATGCTACTGTTTTGTTACTTTCTATAAATCAGTGAAATATGAATGAGTTAAAACATCAAATGAACTACAGGGATATATAACATTTTCTTTGCTGAAGAGCTGTAGACAAGTCTTTTTGTAGACAAGACTGTGATCTTGCTTTTTTATAACATAGTGGTATAGAAGACATGAATTACTGAGGGAAAAAAGGCACTGAACAAAGAGAGCCCCAGATATGAAAAAGAAGTATTTTACGAGCATTCAGATACAGAAGTGATTGTATGAGCTTGGTTAATTTTAACCACTTAAATGTGAAGAGAAGCTCACTGGTATTTTGTCTTTGTGGTATCACAGTGTGAAATAAAAATAATTCACAATATTTTTCTTAAGCATATCACACTTCAGTATTGTTTTCTCTGATAATATAATAGTAAAAAAGCCCAAATATTAAATAAAACTGTTCTAAATCCAACATGATTAGGAAAATATAATCCACAGCTGGGTGACCACTAACAACCAGGATTTTTCAAAAATCAAATGGAGAACCTTGAATGAGAAAACTTCAGAGGTGATCTCATAATAAGAGTTTAAGGCAGGTGATCACCAGGAGATTTGGGTTTCATTGCTGGTTTTGGGATTGATTTTCTGTCACTTTTATTTTCTGTCACTTTAAAGACTCTCTATCTCTGTCCCTTCAACATCACAGGGAAAATACTACATTGCATTGGGAATCAATTGCATCAATGGAGCTATGCTGATTTATTTCACCTAGAACATGTCCTAACTCTTGCCAAATTGGGAAAGTTTTTGTACTACTGTTGGAAATGCAATTGTGGATGGCGCCTGAAAAAACAGAATATCTGATAGGCTGAAAAAAGTGGTCTCATACTTTCTCAGTCACCTGATTACACCATAAGACAGAGCTGAACAGTCTGCTTCACAGCAAGCTTCCTCAGGGACACGTATGATCAGAAGAGCCTCGTTGTACCATAGCAACAGCAGCCCCCACCTCCCATTGTTTCCCACTCTTAAAGACTGGAAAAAAGAGAGTGATTCATGCAGTGTATGGGGAGAGATTAATATCAAAACCAATATTTGGGTCCCTGCCAATTCTCAAATGTCTGAGTTTCCACAGGGACGTTCAATCACTATACGTACACTCATACTGAGTCTGGATAAAATTAAAGAGTGATAGAAATGTCTCAGATATTGGAAAAAG